CCAGGCCGAGAGTGAAGGGGGCCTCGGTCCCGCCAGGGATTTAGTTTACGGAGCCACCGCCACCACCTCCCACACCCGCGTCACCCCTGAGGCAAGACCGGAGCCCACAGGCGGAGCCAGGACGAAGGCCACCTGGTTCTGCTGCCCGGAGCCACAAGCACAGGCGCGGGGCTGGACTCTAGGGCAGGGGCGCACAGGCCAGACGGCGAGGGGGGCGCCTGTTTCTGAGCTCCTACCGCTGCGCCCCGCACTTTACTCCCAGGCGGGCGGTGCCCCAGAGCCGCGGTTCCGGAGTCCTGCCGTGTGGAAGCGGAGTGTTCTCCCCTGGAAACTTTCTCCTCTTCTGATCTTTCTTTTCCCCCAACCTAGCCTGGACTTCGCCGCCGACCTGACCGCGGTCTCTCTAGAAGGCTGGGCACAATCGTCCTGGAGGGGAGCGGCGCTCGCTGACAGACCCCAGAGTGCAACCTGGCTTGGCCCAGGGGACCCCAAGCCCAAAAGGTCTCAGCAATGCGAGCTGCTGGTCGCCACTGGGAAGCTCGGGCGTGCCTCCGGCCTCGGAAGGAGAGGAGAAGGCGGCAAAGGAATGGAGGAACCTTCTCCCTCCTCAGAAAACTTGGGCCCGGGATGGCCCTGCAGTGAGGGCAGCGCCCCGGGTCTGCGTTTCACTTGGGCTGCATGCGGCGTATCTCAGCCTTGGGTTTTATTTCTGGTCGTGGGCACTTTTTCCCTTTGGGGTTTAGGAAAAAGTTTGAATTCCACGAAGCGGCAGATAAGGCGCTCCCTTTGAAGGCTCATATGGTTTCGTTTTGTCCCAAAGTCAGAGAGACCGTGCAGGCCTCCCTCACCAGCCACGGAGCCAGGCCCTGAGCCTGAGGTCTATATTGGTGTGGCTGTAGGCCCCCAGGGACCTCAGCAGCCCTGCTCCTAGGGAGGGAGGCAGGCAAGCACTTCCCGCCCTGCCTTCCCCCAGGGCTGGCCCAGTGCTTCCTCCAGCCTTACCCTGGCTTCACAGGCCCAGGGCCAGCCACCACCCTCCCCCTGGGGACAGGAAAGGTGGCCTCTCTGCCGTGCAGCCACGCGCCTCCCCGGGAGTGCATTCAGCTGGTCTGTAACAGCGGCAGACCTGCTGGGGCCCAAGAAAGCCTGGCGCCTTTGCCCAGGCCCCTCTCTGGCAACCGGGAGCCCAACAGGGAGAGGTCTGGCTCCGGCCGGCCATGCCAGGTGCAGGACGACTGGGCTTCCTGGGCCAGTCCAGCGTCCCTGCAGGGCCGCGGCCGAGGCAGGCCTCAGCGTTGGTTCTAACAGACCCAGGGAGACGCCTGGGCCCAGGTTTCCTTGTACCCCGAGGAAAGCGACCCAGGCCACAACGTGCTCCAGCCTGAGCCCTCCGCACCCCAGGTGTGCAGAGTGCGGTGGCTCCCAAGCCTCACACCAGCAGCCCCATCTGTTTCTTTCCCTCCTGCTTTCCATGCTAGGTCTCTAGCTGCACAGAATGAAGATCAAAATTACGTGCATTTCCGCCTGAAACGAGTTAAAATTTCCCTATCTGTCTGCTTTCACGGCTTCAATGGAGATTAATAAAATCCAGGTGGCACCCGGCACCACGCACAGCCTCACGCACGCACGCACGCCCTGCTGTGGGAGAGGCCGGGGCACCGTGCGCGGTGAGGTGGGCGCTCCTTCCCGCGCAGCCCTGAGGATGGGGCGTCCGCTCCCCTCCCGCCATCAGAGCCCTGGACCTGCGCCCTCACAGGGCCGGGCAGCTTCCCCCACACAAGTCACTGCCACCGGACAGTCCCCTGAGGAGGGACCGCCACCCCGTCTGCATCCGGATTCCCCCGGGGCTCCCCCAAATTCGTGCAACCCTCAGCAGACTGGAACCGCAGAAGCTGCAAGAACGCAGCCACCACCTCCCCACTGCCCAAAGCCCCCGTTCCTGCCGTCTTTCCCCTCCTAAAGCTGGGGGCCAGCAGCCGCTCCGGACCCTTCCCCGAGAAGCGGATCGCGCGCGGCCTCAGACTCCCTCCTCGAGGGAGCCTGCCGGGCAGCCAGGGCAGTGCCCCTCGGCGGGCCAGGGACTGCGAGCTCGGGCTCGCTGACCCCGGCCGCCTTCGGTTCGCCCTCACCCCGAGGCGGGGCCTTGCGAGGCCGGCTCGGACGGGACGGCCGGGCGCGGAGAGGCCGCCTACCTGGGGTCGCCTGGTCTGCGAAGCCGGTGATGGTGTCGGCCCGGCCGTGGCCCGAGGCAGCGGCCGCCCCCGTCGGAGCCCTGCCGGACAGGCCGCGGTACAGCGCCGTCATGAAGTGGTGCGGCACCACCGAGCCGTTCCTGAAGTCGGGGCCGGCGGCGCGGGCCCCCGACTCCGCGGTGGGCTGCACAGGCGACGCGCCGGGCGCCGGGAC